AGAAAACCGTGATTTTAGCGGTTTATTGCAACAGCTTCCTGCTAACGCCATCAATTTGAACTAAAAACCTTGATAAGTTTTCTTTCTTGTTGCTGTTTTTACTTTGGTGTTATCGCGCGTATTCGATCGGTGGCGATTATCGACATGACCGACTCTTGCACTGAATGTTCCAAAAAAATCAATCCTAATACCAAATCTATAGCCTGCTCCGTTTGTAATTGTAAATTTCATCTAAAATGCTTACCAAATATTAGTACCGAAATTGACAACGAGAAATGGGTTTGTAAAAATTGCCGTTCTGATTCCGCTACGCGTAAATCTGATGTAAGTGACTATCTTACCACTCACCACTTCGACTGAATTATGGCCAAACTGAATGATATAACTACCTGACAGTTTTCTCTGTCAGGAGATGTTATTTCCCTTCGTGATGCTCATTCAAAGTTGTTGATCGATCTGGACGTGAAATTTAAGGAACTTAAATCTAATTTAAGTAATTGCATTGAAACCGTTGACTTACAGCAAAAAGTGATTGATGAGCATTTCCAGACTATTAAGACAATGGAATCAAAAATTTCCCAAAATAGGGACCAAAGCCAAAATTTCGGTTCAAATTTAGAGAATTGTAAGACAACCGTTGAAAATCCTTCGACTAAAATAAACAATATTAACAGTGGAAACGAAGGAATAGCCAGTGGTCCCCGGTCGGTATTGGATCTCGCAGAGTTAAAAGATCGAGTGGCTCGTATGAATAATTTAATTGTATACGAGCTTCAGGAAAATGATGATGTTAGCGATGAATGTTTGTGTACGAAAATTTTCGATGCCATTACGTCCATAGTAGTTGGTTGTCCATCCTACCATATGGTACACACTCAAAGAATTGGTAGCAAAACTCTTAATAAACCCCAGCTTCTACGAGTGATTTTAGATAATCTTGCTTTCATGAGATTCATCCTTGGGCACAAACATTTGCTATCTAATAATTCTTCCTTCAAAACTATAGCCTTAGGTGGTGACAAAACAAAATATGAGCAAAAACAATTAAAAGATCTTCGTGTCGAATTTTCTAGACGTCTTCAACAGGCTGAAGCTAACTTAACTATTAAATATCGTAAAGGCATGCCTGGAATTGTATCATCAATTAACTAATAACATCAGTTGAATGGAAGTTCGCCTATACAAATATTCTCTCATTGTCTTCTAAATTTAATGAGTTTGCCTTATTTATGGAATTCTATAAACCCGACATCATGTTAATCTCTGAATCATGGCTGACTAATTCTATCCAAAGTTACTGTGTTAATATTTGTAATTATACCTTGTTTTGATCAGATAGGGCGAATGCTATGAAAGGTGGAGGCACCTGTATATATATCAGTCATAACCACGGTGTATAATAAGTTAGGTGTTCCGACGAGCGCGTGAAACGTGTCCCCAACTAGTCACAGATTTGGAGTGAGAGAAACAGAAGAGGGCGGCCATCATTTAATCGCACTGACGGGAAAGAGACGGGAGAAGTATTTGTCGGAATTAAAGCCATTTAGGTCCAAAAATCATCAAAATTAATTATCCGTTGTATTAAAATAAAAACTTTAAACTTTTTTAAAATAATAATTTATTTAAAAAGATGAATGTGAACTCGTTGTTAAAGATAGTTCTTTTCGCATTCACATATTATATTAGTTTCACTCACTTCTGTTCGTTTCACAAGACAACTAAAAAATATCCATTAACCATTATCTGCTTTACTGTTTGAGAAATAAAAATTTACCATTATTACGTAGTCTGTAATCGAGACTCTTTTCTTTTTTCTGCACATGCCTTGGTTGTTTTCTCTTGTTCCTGTTTATAAAATTGTTTAATTCGCATAATTGTGTAAAAATATATTGCCTTTGAAAATATTTCCATTCTATGCTCTTCACAAGAAAAAAGAAAGTAAATAGTAATAAAAATTTTTGTTGCGAATAGCTCTTCAATTGTTGCATCGAATACATCCACAAAATCGATATATTTCATAAGTATCCTTTCCACCCATCGGAACATATTAAACATTAACAAATCTGGATGGTTTAACCACCCCCTGGATTTTGTACTAGTAAATTCAGATGTACTAGAACATGGATCTTCTTTGTTATATAACTGTTCACGGCAAATATTACATTTTGAAGTATTGTATAATAAATGATGTTGTCAACAATTTTAGTTGCAGTGACATCTTCAAATAGTTGTTCGTCTATTTCGTTAATCGGTGAATCTGTATCTAAAATATATTCAATTTTCCTTTTTATTTTCTCAACATGATTTTTCCCGCATTCTGGTATTTGTTTCAAAAATAGTTTTGGAGTCATTAAATGATAACGAATGATTTGCATTACTATTTTCCTGCATCTGTGTGCAATTACCAAATTTCGGAGGTTTTAATAATTTATAAACCGATAACATTCGGTATAGCTGCAAAGAGTTATAGATCAGGGATCTCCATTGGCACAACCTGCTTGTCGAATTGTGCCGAAAAATCTCTGCAAAAAATATAGTTTATGTGGAATAAAGAAAAAATACATATCGCATTCAAAAACCCTCTGAAAGTAAACATAAATTCTGTTTCTTGAATGTTAAAACATAACACATAACCGATAAAAAGGGAGTAATTGTTTTAAGTAAAAATAAAATTCAACATAAAATGCCTACTAAGTATTACTATCGCGACGACAAGTATTTTTTAGTGCAAAGTGTTGTTCAAAAGCAGCAGTTCACTACTGCAATAAAAGTGCCATTCCAGTAATCTGTCTTTAGGTACCCGAAACACCGACACTTTTTCGGGATTACCATTGTATCCGCTAGAACAATTAGGCACATTTTCTACCCATTTTTATTGATAAATCAAAAAACAAGTAAGAAATCGCAGAGAAAACCTAGCAAAATCTGTCACACCTAGAGAGGGAAACAACCCGCCAAACGCTGCTAAACAGATCTAAGTTGGTTACAGGCCGCCGCTGTCTGTCTCTCTCGACTGCTCATCGTGACTAAACCGGCGTCAAGTCGATGCACGGTGAATACGCTTCGTCGTAACACCTAACTTATTATACACCGTGGTCGTGACCTACAATCCGATTATAATGTTGAGGTACTTGCAATCGATGTGCCTAGTATAGAAGTAACTTGCCTAAAAATCTTTAATAAATATTTTTCCATAATTGTTTCTTGTGTTTATCGACCCCCAAATAGCCCCCCTGAGGCTGATTCTCAGTTGTATCGAATCTTGTCCCAATTAATTGAGAGATATGAAAATCTATATTAATAAAAATGAATCGCCGAAATGTATGTACGCCCATAACTTCAGAACGGCCGCACCGAATCGGACGATTCTTTTTTTTACGTGTTCCTTATCGTCGGGAGAAGGTTTATATGTAAGAATATTTATAAAAAATAAGACGGCTAAAAGATAAAAAAAAAATTAAAAATTTTGCACGGGAATCGCCGCTTCCAATGAATTTGAATAGTTGGCCATTCCTGACGGACCTGTCGCCTGACTGACGTGTCACACAAAACTATTTCTTCCGTGCGATTGTGAAAAGTATTATTGCATTTCAAGTCGTTGTTTGTTTTTTCGTAACAAAAAACCGTAGTTTATTTCAAGAAAAGTGTTGGTTAAAGTGAATTCAGTTACGCATTGCGAAAGTTTCTTATTAATTTTGATCTGCCATTCTATTTACCTATGTTCACTTTGTTGGTTTCGACAAAACCTCAAACTTTACCGTTATTCGAGGATTTGATTTGATGTTTTCAGTATTTTAAAATCCTCAAGACAAAATTTACAGATTTGATTGACTGCGAAAATAATTCTGTGTCGTTTTATGAAGTTCATTACAACGCCGAGAAGACGACAAGCTGACATAGGTCCACGAAGTCAATGAAATGTGAGACGAACTACCTCAGGTACAAATCGCAATGATTTATTTCATGGGTAATTCGGATACGGAAGTTGATCAGCGTCGTGCTCATAATCAACATAATAGTCAAACATTGAAGCGAGACATTGGGTGGTATGAATAAAACTGAGTAGATACTCATATTCGAAGTACGAAGTACCTAGAAAGAGTAATAATCTTATATACCTGAGCATCTACTCTATGTACTGAGTACCTACTTGGAAACATTGTATCTCCCCGGACACAAATTGAACATCTACCTACGCGTTTTGTGAGCATTTAATCTAAAATTGAGCATCGGCGTGGCAAATGACTGAACTGTCTGTAAAGCAGCTTAGAAAACGAGTAGGATCGTTGTAAAAGTGAATTTTGACTAAACATTAGGGATGTATCGACTAGTGGCCGACCGGTCGGATAAGCTGACTATTCGGCCGTTTTTCATCGTCGCGTCGGCTGGCAGTCGGCGACTACTCGGCTAAACAGCCGATCGGTCGGCTTTTTTTTATTAAAATTAAAATAGTATATAAAACAATTAAACCTAGTTTACAGAACCTCAATTAAATATTTAGTTGCAATTTACTTTTTAACCCCGCGTTAAAGTACCATGTGACCGACTCTACGCCAATCAGACGTCGCTAATGGCCTTGTTGAATGCGCGATCAACTTAAACTCAGTTAAAATATTGTATAAACTGGCCCTAAATTGTGTTATTTGTACTGAGTTACTAAAAAATTAAATGTTAAAATTATCCAAACAAATTTAACACATTTTTTGGAAAACAAAGGAACTTTAGTTATTCCTTTTATTAACCCTTAAACGCCGAGAATTCAGCCTTTTAAAATTTTATATTTTATGCTTTTGATTTAGCCTGCATAACTAAGGAGTAATTCAAAAATAATATTTTTATTTATTTGTGATATATACTTTAGCCAAAAAAGGCCGTGACCATTTGGTAACACTGGCACCTGCACTACCGTGTTTTCTCAAAATAATAAAAATCGTATTTATTTGAAAAGCATTTTATTTTCTAGTATGGAAAGATTGGAAACAATTTACACATAAGCCGACTTAACACTTGGTGCACATAGTTCGCCCAACAGTTTTGCAGTTTTGCCCAGCACATCGTCTTCTTTTATTGTCTTGTGTTTGGGCTACAAAATGATCGATCCTATCGTATCGCAAATCATCGGGAACTCGTCCATATGTGTTAGCTGTTGACGATGGTACTTTTCCGGGGCTTTTTGGAGGACTTTCATACCGTTGCAAGTAGATGGTAACTATTTCCCGACGGAATTCCAACTGTGTCATGGTGCCTCCGCATTTTTTATGTATTTGCCAGGCATTTTGGATGCATACGTCAAGAAGCCACGTGAAAATACCCCACCACCACTTTTTTCCTCTCATGCCCACTCTATAGCGTCCAATATTTTCATCCATAAGATCTACCCCTCCCATGAAAGCGTTGTATGTTCCAATTGCGTTTGGACGAGGGACGATAATAGTTTTTTTTTCTGCCTGAGAATATCGTCTTACGCCACTTGTGGGTTCCACTCCATTCAATGTAGATGCCACAGTTACCACTCCGTTGTCTACCCAACGTACAAATAAAATTCCGTGAGTTCTATCTATGATGGATGCAAACGTACTCCTCGCCTTCTTTTCCATAATTTTTTTGCTGGGAAGTGGACAGTCACGGGGGATTCTGTTTTCGCGGATAGTTCCGGTACCTTGGTACCCATTTTCTTTTAGGTGTGTCAACAATTTTATACTTGCGAATAAATTATCAAAATGTAAATGAAAAGGCAAAAGTGTTTTCAACTTTGTAATTTCGTCTAACATTTGTACCATTGGTGCTGAAGCCTTTCCAAAGGATTTTTCATATTCAGCTGAGCGTCGCAGATTGTTACCTACAGAAATAAAAAGATCGCAATAATTATAATAAGATTGATAAGTAAAAATTACCCTGATATAGTTCGAAGTTGACAAGATATCCCGATGGAGTATTGAGACACCACATTTTATAACCAAATCGTATGGGTTTACCCCTGATGAACTGTTTGCAACTGTGTCGCCCAAAGTATTTTATCATGCTTTCATCATAACGTAACTTCTCTTCTGGAACAAAATATTGCAAACACTTTTTCTTTATTAGATCCATTAGTGGTCTCATTTTCCATATTTTGTCAGCTGGATTCGGTTTGGAATTGTCCGCGCAATGCAAAAATTTACAAACTTGCAGAAAACGGTCTCGACGCATTGAATTCACCACAAGTTCGTTTCGCATATCAGGTTTGCTGTCCCAATAATTTCGTTTTCCAGGTAATACGTTATATCCACTCAATATAAGAATTGCAATAGCACACTTTGTTTCGTGTTGAGACAATTGTGGGTTAGTACAATTGGTGAAAAGTGCATAGTTGTTAATTTCTGTTTGTAGTAGTTCATATACATCATCACCAAAAAACATTTCGAACAGCTCAACTGGTGAGAAATTGTGATAGTGGTCAAAGTTTGGAGCCGGAAATTCACGATGATTAAAATTTTTGTCAAAATCGCCTATTATCCACTCTATCTTCTCAGTTAATTTTGACTTTCCAGAAGAGGTGCTAGCATGAGCAGTGGAATATAATAAATTATCTTCAGGGGTGCTTGAATTTACGAGCCTGACTTTAGCTGGTGCTCTCAATTGGGAACCTGGCAAATTGTCAATCAAGCCTCCACCGTCTTCGTCACCCGAGTCTTCGTCCGTGATACCTCCATTATCAGGGGGTTCAATAAAAATTTTATCAATGTCGTCATTATATGTCATTTCTAGGGCTTCTTGAAGCGAAAAGCCTCGCGTATCACATAAAGAGATTTAGGAATAACACGGTAGTACACGCGCCTAGCGTTACCGTGTGGTAACGCAATGAAAAAAACCTGTGTAGTTTAGTCAAGATTTTGTAAATATGGACATAATGGGCATAAGTAAATGATTTCATTCTTTCTTCATTGCGTATCAGAATTATAACGTATAAATAACAAAAGGTAACAAAATTATACTCACTTAAAATTAGGTTCCATCACTTTTTGCTACGAAAACCAAACAGGTGAATTTGAAAAATTCCTAACACGTGCAACGAGCAAGAAAAGGGACAATGCAGTATATCGTTACATTTATGAAACTTCCCTTGTCAAAACTAGCGCGATACCTAGCGGCACAATCGCCAATTAACATTACAGGAATTTTTTTAAAATTTATTTTTCTCCGTTACCATATGGTCACGCTAGACGCTTATGGGTTCATGGCCGACTCCATTAATCGCTAAAGAGATATGGCCGTTCCAATCGGCGTTTACAAATTGGCTATCCAAACAATTGAAAAGTTCTCTAAAGTGGTGCCATCTGACATCATCAGCTCAAAAGTTTGCCAAATAAATCATATCTAAAATGTACAAAATATGATGAGTCTGTACTTGTGATATATCACTCCATTCATATTTTTTGGATTTGCATATACAGGGTGACTCAAAAAAATTAATGAATGCGTAAATTTATTTTATTGATTTACTCAGGAACTACAAAACTGAATGCTTTGAAATCCTGCAGATGTTTTCAGGTTATAAAGAGCATAATAAATTTTTAGTCAAAATATATTTGGTTATCTTCTCCAAAAAACTGATGACGTCAGCTCAAAAGTTTGCCGAATAAATCCTATCTAGAATATACAAAATATGATGAGTCTGTACTTGTAATTTATCACTCCATTCATATTTTTTAAATTTGCATATACCGGGTGACTCAAAAAAAATAATGAACGCGGAAATTTATTTTATTGGTTTACTCAGGAACTACAAAACCGAATTTTTTGAAATCTACTGCGAAAAAAAACATAATAGGCATGCAGTCGTCACGTTTCCGACAGCGAGGGAAGTACTGTCTAAACTCTTTAGACCAATTTTTTTATAACCACTTTTCTTCGCTGTTGACTAAATGTTCACTTGTTAAAAAAGTTCCCACTATTCTGGGCAAACCATGGATTGACTTGGCGCTGTTGAAACAAATCCAGCACAAAAAGAAACTTTGGCTGAAATTTAGAACATCTCGTAAAACGGAAGACTATCGTGTACATCGATCATTTTCCAATTCTCTGTCTATAGGTTTATCTAAGGCTAGGTCTTCGTATGAAAATTCTATTGCTGAAAACTCTGACAATTGCAAACGCTTCTTCAGGTATGTTCGTTCCCAAATTAGCACTAAAGTTGGTGTACCACTATTAAAACGAGCTGATGGTACTCTCTGTAGCGATTATAATGAAGTCCCTTCTGTTTTTACTGACACCTTTGCCGATGCTTTCACTATTGAGCCAACTTTATTGTCGCCAAATATTTCTATTGATAGGGACCCTAACTCGATTACCACCTTGCAGTTTAGTCCTGAACTAGTCGCTGCCAGTATCAAAGATCTTAAAGACACATCAGCACCCGGTTTGGATAAAATTTCTCGAAAGCTACTGAAAATTAGTTGTGACCATATTGCACCCTGCCTTTCCAATATAATGCAACAATCCCTTGACTGTTGCCGATTACCACCTGCCTGGTTACTTTCAGTCGTTACACCTATTTACAAAAAATGCGATAGATATTTGGCTTCTAAATATAGGCCTATTTGTCTGCAATCTGTCGTTTTAAAAACGATGGAATCAATTATTGCCAAAGAACTTAGAAAATTTGCATCGGAAAACAACTTAATTCCCGATATCCAACACGGCTTCACTGTAGGTAAATCAGTTATTACCAATCTACTTTGTTGTTTAAACGATTGGACTCGTAGCGTTGATCTTAATCTCCCTGTGGACGTATTATATCTTGATTTTGCCAGAGCTTTCGATAAAGTTCCCATAAATCGCCTTTTCTTTAAACTTGAGCATCTTGGCATTCGAGGAAAACTATTACGATGGTTTGAAAATTATCTAACCAATAGATACTTTTGCGTAAGGGTAGGTGATAGTCTGTCTGGGAATGTAAAGGTCCTTAGTGGGGTACCGCAGGGATCAGTATTACGGCCCCTCTTGTTTTGTTGTACGTCGCTGATTTACCAACCCACTTGTCCTCTACCGTTTCAATGTTTGCCGACGATACTAAATTATATGCCAACCCGCTTACTAATTATGACCACCTTACAAAAGATCTACAGGCTCTCAATTCATGGTGTTCCGGTTGGCTGCTGCCTTTAAATTGTGACAAATGCACCGTTCTCCACCTGGGTAAGAATAACCCCATGCTTAGTTATAACATTGCGGGAGTACCTTTAAGTGTGGTCGATTATCATAACGATTTAGGCATTATTATTTCTTCCGACCTCAAATGGGAACGACATATTGTATCGATAACAAGAAAAGCTAATTCTATGCTGTTCCTAATTAGTCGCTCCTTTTGTAATCCCACTACCTCCACGGCTGCCAAACTCATTCGGATGTACGTTAGGCCAATACTAGAGTTTGCCGCTCCATCCTGGTCGCCATATTTTGCTAAGGACATTAACGCTTTGGAGCGAGTCCAACGAAGAGCCACTAAGCTGGCTCCTGCTATTAGACACAGACCGTATGAAGAACGGTTATCTGTCATGAAGTTGCCGTTATACAGGTTGTTCGCTAAGTTGAGACATTCCTTTTAACACGTAGTTTTATGCCTTGCTCTAAAGCGATTTAGCTTCTATTACCTTAGTAAAATTTCGATATTTATTGATTTCATCTTTTTATAAATTTTAGAAATTTTTAGAGACGGTCCTGTCCAAAATTTCTAATTAAAGATTAGCGTTTACAAAATATATCATTGTCATGGATATGAATTTAGAGTATTGTCAGAGCTGTCATTCAAATTTATTGACATGGCTTTTCAACGTGCTTATCGTTTTGAAAATAGTGAGCTTGTAGATATGTTAATACTCTATGGAGAATGTCACCAAAACGCTGCTGCGGCGTCGAGAATGTATGCAGAAAGATTCCCCCGAAGGCATCCCCCTGGGCCTCGTCAATTTACGAATCTCGTACAGCGAGCTAGAGAAACTGGAAACTTACAGGAACATCGTGGAGGACACGCCGGTAGACCAAGACTCCAACAGATGTTAGATCTAGAAGAGGAAATTCTAGAAATAATAGGCAAAGATCCAGCAATTAGTACCCGACAAATTGCTCATCGAGTAAATACATGTCACAGCAAAGTATGGAGCACATTACGTGAAAATCAGCTCCATCCTTGTCACGTCCAACGTATGCAATCTTTAATACCTCCTGATTATCCCCGAAGAGTACGATTTTCAGAATGACTTTTGGAACAAACTATGAACCATGAAAATTTTATTAACCAAATTCTGATCACTGATGAAACAACATTTACTCGTAATGGTACAATGAATTTTCGTAATACACATGTATGGGCCTTTGAAAACCCGCATGCAATTCGCCGCACAAATTTTCAGCACAAATTTTTGATAAACATATGTGCTGGCATTCTAAAAGGTATATTTATTGGACCATTTATTCTACCGGATCGCATCGATGGTATGCAGTATCTCAATTTTTTGCAAAACGATTTGCCTGAATTACTGGAAGAAGTTCCATTAAACATTAGGCTGAACATGTGGTTCCTAAATGACGGCGCACCACCACATTATCGTCTGGAAGTGCGGAATTATTTAAACTACGCTTTTCCTCATAGGTGGATAGGGCGAAATGGCCCCATTGCCTAGCCGCCCCGTTCGCCGGACCTAAACGCTTGCGACTTTTACTTATGGGGGCACATGAAGCAGTTGGTTTATACGAGTGAAATACACACAGTTGAGGAGCTACGAGATCGTATTTTTAATGCCGCTAACCAAATTCGACAGCAGCAAGGGATCTTGTCCTGTGGCAATTCCTGGATACGAAGATCAAGACTTTGCATTGCAAATAACGGCAACAATTTTGAGCATTTACTGTGAGTTTCTCAGGTGAGCAGTTGGAGTGAGAATTCTTAAGTTAGACATTTCGTAAAACATCACTTCTTTGTTTTTACATTTTCTTTCTTCAAATAATTAGCCATCTGATTAATTAAATTCTGTTGTGTTACATTTCAGTTATCAGTTTAGTACATAAATAAATCTAACAACTTACCGTTGTGATTCACCTAGATAGTTTATAGATTTTTCTTATCGTTTCGAATAGGTAGACGTTTTAAACCTTGAACTACGAAATAGAAATGAAGAGTTAAAATTAGAAACTTCCAAACGATTTTTAAAACGTCATAAAGGGACAAGTACTACTGACATTATTAGAAAATATGACAACCATGGTAACAATGGATATTGTATAGGTAGGCATCGTATTCCAGTTAGGATAGAATGAACAGGACCGAACTCAAAATTTTAGAAAAGTACAATTACAAATAACTATTTAACTTTCTTACAATGCCACTTTTGGTTAAGTGACTTAGGCTAAAACCCTTTAGAATTAAGTATAGTAGCACGTGTTCGAAGGAACGTCTCAACTTAGCGAACACCCTGTATAGAAGGAGAATACGTAGAGTCCTTCTCCTCACCTATCGAGCTTTTAGGGACGTCCCGATTATCAACTTCTTCACACTGAATAATGACACAAGACTTCGAGGGCATCCTTGGAAACTCCACAAGGAACAATACCGTATTCTTTCTCGACAACACTTTTGGTCTTGTCGGGTTTGCAATCACTGGAACGCCTTATCGCGGAACGTCGTGGAGTTGCCTAGTGTCAATTCGTTTAAGAATCATCTTGACTCTTTTCTCTAAGAATATTTTTCTTAGTTATAGTACTGGGTTTGTAATTATTATTTTTTATTTTCTATTATTATGTTTTTTTGCAGTATCTTATCACACTTTAGTATATAAGTTATCCAATAATTTTCCATTACCGTTTTTTTTTTTTTTAGTTAAGTTATACAGGTCCTCACTGTATCTTTATTACTTAATAATAATAATAATAATAATAAAGAACAGAAAGTCTATTCAAGAACTACAGAATGAAGGTCATTCTAAAGAATCCAAAGTCTGTTCAAGAATAGAAAGTCTATTCAAAAACTACATAATGAAGGTCATTCTGAAGAACCTAAAGTCTGTTCGCGAGTAGAAAGTCTATTCAAAATAAGTAAAATGCACGTCATTTTGGAAAACAGAAAGTTTGTTAGAAAAGAGAAAGTCTAATAAAGAAACACCATTCCAAACAACAAAAAGTCTGTTGAACAGAAGAAATGCTTTCCTGAAAGCGTTTCGAACGACGGGGAAAAGTCCCTAAGAACTGGTATTAGGTTATCGGCCGAAAGGTTGGTCCGATGCCTACTTATTGAACGATTTAGATCTTGAAGAGAACGTTTCTGATCTTGTTTCTATACGGCGTCAAGCAGCTGAGCAAACGGCTCAGTATCAAGACGCGCAGAAGAAACGATATGATTTACGACGAAGACCTACTCAATATAAAATTGGGCAGTATGTGTTGATGCGAAAAACGATTGCATCAAATGACGGAAAGGGCAAAAAGGCATTGCCTAATTACTCTGGTCCATACGTAGTGACAAAAGTGTTATCTTACGACCGGTGCGTAATCAAAGACTTACCGGGAGCGCAACGTGCACAAAAGATGTATAAAGGTTTTGTTCGGTTGATAAGCTGAAGGTTTTTCAACCTATAATGAAAGATGATGGGTTGGATACTTCTCCCGACGAGGAAGAAACTCCAATTCATCCCAAGAAAAACTGTCACTAACAGGTTCTTGACGTAACGGTTTCCAACGTGGATACACGAAAGGTATCTATCCAACGACAATTTTTGTCAAGGATACTATTAACGAAAAGGGATCCCGCGAACGATCACAAAACATCCACCAAAGTGGTTCATTACGGCAAAGTGTCTTTATTACGTAACTGTTAATTACATGACCTTTCGAGCTAAAACGATGATGTCTTGTTGAGAGTGGTTAACCCATCTTGTCAACGACATGATCGTTTACCAATTGAGCAAAGTGCTAGAAGTAAATGTCTAGAACCTGATGATAGTCACTAGGCACCTTCAATGAAAGACGCCCTTTTTCAAACAACGTGCTATGTATTGTAAAAAGCCAACTGTGTCTTCATGTTGATAATTTCTTTTTGTATTTATTTAGCTACCATTCTACGAGGACGTAGAAGAAGGCAGCGTGACCGAGCTGTAAGCGCCCTTGAATTTTATGGACTCGTGTGGTTCTGAACAGAGTCGCACATGAGATGCTGACAAGGAGTTCTGGGGCGAGGGAAGGCAGAATATACTCATACGTCGAGAGAGAGAGTTCACACATTCGGTTGTCTCTTTGTTTTAATAAAAACTTATCTTAAATTGAAGAGCTTTTATATGTTAATAATTATTATTTAGTGCTGCGCAAAGACACCATGGAAAAAGCAGTAGCAGTACAAGTGGAAGTAAAAGCAAGAACTCAAAAAGTGGTTCTGACAGTAGGGAAGGTGATAAGCTGGCGTTACATAAAGAAACTACATGAATTACAAAATGAAGAATTCCTAAATGTTGCAAACAAGTTGAAAAAGGCACATTTCGAGTGGCAGCAACATAAAATGAAAGTAAGTTGTTTTCCTGACAATATTCCTAATTGACATTAATAATTAAGTTCTATTATAGGTGAGTTTAGCAGCACAAACTCTTAGCAAGACTGTTGCGGATGCACTTGAATTTTTAAAAGATCTTGGTATTGGTGACTTTCAAGGTTGTGAAGCAGCAATAGAATTCATCAGAAGGATAGATTCTTTATTTGATATTCTCAATTCCCGAAGTGTATGTGCTAAGAATTTTAAGGCACCTTTGAGAGAAAACAATGAAGAAATGTGGCGTCCATTTCTCACCGACACCAATGAGTATCTTCTGAATTTGAAGGATGTCATTGGCAGGCCTTTGTGGTGCACAACCCGAAAAACGTCAATTCTGGGCTTTGTTATTTCTGCTACGTCGTTCATGGGAATTTTTGATGAATTTGTTAGTAGTAAGAGGTTGAGTTACTTGCTAACATATAAATGTAGTAAAAGATCATCTGGAAATTTTCTTCTGCTCAGTGCGGTAAGCTTTTTAAAGAAACAATTGCATTAATTTTTGTATGCACTGGAATTACACAAATCTGTATTTATTTTTCTGTTTTCAGATCGAGAAATGGGTGAAACAATAACCCTACTCCTCTACAATTTTGTAAAACTTTTAGAAGATTGCTTCTATTTACAAATATAACGAGGGAAGGAGTAAAGTGCTTTGCACCACCTGTATGCTCTCTGTTAGCAGTGGCCCAAGGCAAAAGAGCACAAATGTTCAACAATCAGTTGACGTGTTTGTCTTGAAAAAATATGGTGTCGATATTTTGACTGAAGCACTTGCAGATCATTACTATGACTGTCTAATTTTATTGGGCTGAGTGAAGTGGCAGAAAACGTTGTGACATATATTGGTAGCTATGTTGTCAAAATGGTGCTGAAGACGTTTAAGTGCGCAGACTGCATTTGTTCTTGCATTGAAACACGAGGAAGTGACTTACAGTTTACAGAACATGGGTAAAATAAAATACTTACAATAGTTATTTTTTAAGTCTTAACAAAATTTTGATTTTAGGTGGGCTTATTAAACCTTTTGCTGGGGTTGTAAAGATTTGTTGTTACTGTGAGTTGCAAATACGAAAAATTTTGCAACTCACCGATAACAAACTTCCAAGCAATGAACAATTTTTTAAAACTTTTGGCATAGCTTGTGCGCAGAGATTCTACAGCGGTGCCAGCATTCTTTTTCCTAATTTAGAGGACCACGCACTCGAGACGGCGGCCATCGATGAAGGCCATTTATATATTCTTATTAAACAAATAATTAATGCCTACATGTAAATATATAAGAATGTTTAATTTGAGCAAAAGACTTTCATGTCTTGCTCAAAGCACTTCTGTTAGACATGTGTACACAAAATTGGTACTGTTTTCGCATCAATAAATATATTGAAATATAATTATGTTTATTTATTTATATAAGGTGGAATATATTTTAGTTGTGATTTATTATTAGGTGATTTTAATTAATGATTTTAAACTTCCCGCTAAATAATCAAGCAATTGTCTAGGGATATCAAGTCCTGTTAGTGATTTGTGATTATGTTGGCAACAGTTAACTGATAAAATGACTGCTTTCAATTTTACCAAGGATTTTGTGTCTGCGCAAGTGGAAGGTCATTCTTCCTCTCCATATCTCTGATCCAATATCACACCTAAATCAGTTACTTGATCAACTGATTCTAGCACAGAATTATTAATGCTGTATTGAACTTTATGATTTTTGTTGCCCAATCGAAACACCGAGTATTTGTTGGTATTAAGAGGTAATAGCCACAAGGTGGTCCATGTGTAAATAAAGTCAAGATCCTCTTGCAATGATACAATGGGTTACAAAATATTTTTCCATCATCAGCATAACAAGCGCTTCTCGATTTCAATCCCACCTGTAAGTCAGCTATGTAGATCAAGAAAAGAATGGGTCCCAGAACAGATCCTTGCGGAACGCCAGACAGTACGTAGTGGGTATCAGAGTACGAAGTTCCAACTTTAACTGAGAATGTACGATTGGAAAGGAACGCCTTTACTCACTCCAGTAATAGTCCTTTGACTCCCGCGTATTCTAGCTTGGGCAAAAGGCGTCTGTGAGGGACTCGATCGAAGGCTTTTTCAAAATCTAGGTAGAAGACGTCAACTGGTTCCGATTTGTCTAAATGAGATGTCCAGATGTCTAAACACTGCAGCAAACAAGTAACTACCGATTTTTACTTCCCGAGCGTAAGCAAAGGAAGTATTGTAATCGAGTCCGTCGGCCGACTCACTACTTTTGCATTTTCTCGACCGATCATGACCCCTAGAGGACGAAGAAATAGGTCTCCCGTTTCCGCCTGTCTGTCTGTCCATCTGTTCGTCTATCTGTGTGTCCGTCTGTCTGCCGTCCCGGATTTTTATTAGACAGATAATCTCCGAAAGTACTGGGCCGATTGTTGTCAAATTTTGTATTTATATTAGGTATATCATGTAGATGGTAAAACCATAGATTAATATAGATGCGACATATAGGCTTATTTTGCAAAACCTCCCTCATTAACATTGGAGTCCTCAACCGCCAAAGGCAAGCGCCTAATTTAAATAGTCGGTGCTAATAAAAACTTTGCTTCATTATAATTGTAATTCGTGTGACCTGAATGAAAGTGAAGGAAATAGTAAGCAGTTTGTAAATCTAGTGTCAATTTGTCGGAAACAAAAGGCGTCGTTAAAAATATTGTGACATTTTACTTCCCGAGCCTAAGCAAAGGAAGTATTGTAATCGAGTCCGTCGGCCGACTTTCTACTCTTACTTTTTCTCGATCTTTCATGACCCCTAGAAGACAAAGAAATAGGTCTCCCATTTCCGTCTGTCTGTCCGTCTGTCCGTCTGTCTGCCGTCCCGGATTTTTATTAGTCAGATAATCTCCGAAAGTACTGGACCGATTGCTGTGAAATTTTGTACTTATATTAGGAATACAGGGTGACTGCGAAATATGTGCAAATATTTTAACCTCGGCATCCCCCACCCTAGTAGAGCCGAAATATAGAAAAAACAAATTAAAAATCGAATGGGGCAAAACCCCCATGAACCACCCTCGATACGAAGGCACTGAGCCACCTTGTAAACAGAGTTGGAAAAACGTTCGAATAAAAACCACCTAAACACTTTCAGTTTCAATTAAAAGTAAAACCGACTTTTTGCTGCTTATCATTCGTTCATTCATTTACTCATTCATCGTTAAAGGTCAGTGTGAAAGTTTTTTGGTAATTTTGATTCTGACGGATGTTTGGTCCTTGTCACAACGATTTTACATTGTTTATTGGGACAGAAATAAGAGCAACTTAGAATGCTACTACCTTTTTTACAAGAAATGTTGAAAATGTTGTCCTTGACTAGCAATACAGGCGTCAGAGCGTCGCAAGAGGTTTGTTGATAGGTAAAAAACACCGGAGTAGCGGCTGCCACTTTCACTTGTTGAAGCTCTTCGACAATTTCTGAACACTGTTGATTTCCACAAACGTATTGTTTCATCCAACCAATACACGTTTCTCGAAAACCGTCTCTTGAAATCGTACTTGTTGACGAGTATGTGGAGTTCCATCAGACAAAAAGTGAGTTACACAACGTGGACAATCAGCGGGCTCCAAACCGTGCACTTTGTCAACATGGTATGGATGTGACCGTGTTTCTTTTTTTTAATGTAGGATGCACTACAAGCTGCGAAAATCCAATTTCTTCTTTCTGTCCCATCACGACCACGATCGTGAGTTTGAGGTTGAAGGTACCATGATCTTGGAGATGCTGTACCACTGATGCAAATGTTCGCACACACAAATTACCATATCGACACGCTCTGCATTGGAAAACTGGACCATACACCGATTTCAACGACCGCTCGATAATCACTGGCCCTTTTCGTGTTTTTCACGTTGCGATTAAAAAAGTGCCTGATAAAGTTACTTTTTTGGTTCTTAAACCGAGTCGCCTGCCATTCATTGCAGTAATTATGTAGGTCACGAAACATTACCAGCGGCGCGTATAACAATTTACATTTAATTTCAAATAATTTTTCCTAAACACTGCTACCACTTAGGACCATGAATTTTTGCCAGTGACATAATTATATTGTGACCTATTCCCCAATTTTTTTTTTTGCATGCATTTCGCAGTCAGCCTGTATTGTAGATGGTAAAACGCTAACCAAAATTTGTCTAATCATCCCCACCTCTAATGCGATGACGTCACTTCAAAATTGTACACAGTAAATGGGTTTTAAATTGTATAAAATAACATAGTCCTACACATGTAGTTTACGACCCCGAATTGAGTTTTCATCCGAAACGTCCAAATTTTTGGAAAAAAATCAAAATTATTAAACAACATTTTGAAATTTAATTTTGAATCTGCTAACCCGATTGCTTTGAAATGTTGCAGATGTTTTAAGGCTATAAAGAGCATCATAAATCTTTACTCAAAATATATTTGGTTATCCCCTCCAAAAACTTGATGACGTCAGCTCAAAAGTTTGCCGAATAAATCATATCTAAAATGTACAAAATATGATGAGTCTGTACTTGTGATCTATCACTCCATTCATATTTTTTGGATTTGCATATACAGGGTGACTCAAAAAAATTAATGAATGCGTAAATTTAATTTATTGATTTACTCAGGAACTACAAAACCGAATACTTTGAAATCTTGCAGATGTTTTAAGGTTATAAAGAGCATAATAAATGTTTAGTCAAAATATATTTGCTGATCCCCTCCAAAAAATTGATGACGTCAGCTCGAAAGTTTGCCGAATAAATCCTATCTAAATTGTAAAAATATGATGTGTCTGTACTTGTAATTTATCACTCCATTCATATTTTTTGGATTTGCATATACAGGGTGATTCAAAAAAATTAATGAATGCGTAAATTTATTTTACTGATTTACTCAGAAACTATAAAACCGAATGCTTTGAAATCTTGCAGATGTTTTAAGGTTATAAAGAGCATAATAAATGTTTAGTCAAAATATATTTGCTTATCCCCTCCAAAAAACTGATGACGTCAGCTCGAAAGTTTGCCGAATAAATCCTATCTAAACTGTAAAAATATGATGTGTCTGTACTTGTAATTTATCACTCCATTCATATTTTTTGGATTTGCGTATACAGGGTGACTCAAAAAAATTAATGAATGCGTAAATATATTTTATTGATTTAATCAGGAACTACAAAACTGAATGCTCTGAAATCTTGCAGATGTTTTAAGGTCATCAAGAGCATAATAAATGTTTATTCAAAATATATTTGCTTATCCCCTCCAAAAACTTGATGACGTCAGATCGAAAGTTTGCCGAATAAATCATATCTAAAATGTACAAAATATGATCAGTCTGTACTTGTGATCTATCACTCCATTCATATTTTTTGGATTTGCATATACAGGGTGATTCAAAAAAATTAATGAAAGCGTAAATTTATTTTACTGATTTACACAGAAACTACAAAACCGAATGCTTTGAAATCTTGCAGATGTTTTAAGGTTATAAAGAGCATAATAAATGTTTAGTCAAAATATATTTGCTTATCCCCTCCAAAAAATTGATGACGTCAGCTCGAAAGTTTGCCGAATAAATCCTATCTAAACTGTAAAAATATGATGAGTCGTACTTGTGATTTAACA